ATGATGTCCCTTTCTAAGGAATAGCCTGACGTAGCTCATAGCCTCACACAGTTATATGTCTAAAATATGAGAGAAGCTTAGCTATCTTTGCCTCCATGGAGCACTCTGCCTGCACTTGGCTCAAGATATACCTGTTTGTCCCTCTGACTTTCCATGAGATATACAGTACTCTTCTCCAGCACTGCTTCTGCCTATCTCCAAAGCCTCCTTTCTCACCACAGGCCCTCTCACAGCCCTGCCAGAGGAACGACTAGTGGTTTTAGTGACACAACAAGCTTCTGAGTTTTGTCTGAGCTGTTTCCTGGCTCCCACTGTGTACCATCACCAACCATTACTCAGCTAACTTCTTTCTGCTCATTTTCCACAGTGAGTCCTGATACCATGTCTCTGGAGAAGCCTCCTGACACTCTAAAACCTACGCTTGGAACTATGTTAGTCACATCACCACATCTACTGTTCTACACTCTAATTGGCTGCTTTGGAGTTTGGACCCATGCTTTACATATTGTTATGCTATGTACTCAGTGTATACATCCCTCTCTGTGCAGACATTGAAAGGCCAGACAATTCCTATGGTCTCGTGGTCACCAAACACTTTTAGGGCAGAATTATGAAGCCAGTTATAGTGACATATATTGTGGTTTGTGTTGTTGTTATGTGTCGTCGAGTCACTTGCGACTCATAGAGACCCTATGTACAATAGCCCTAAATTCTGCTCTATCCTGTGCCAACATCACTGTCTCTGATATACCTACTCCCATTAGCCCAATCACAAAATCGATCCATCTCATCAAAGGTCTTCCTCTTTTGCATCATCCTTCTCCTTGCAACATGCCCAAAGTATGTCAGACAAAGCTTCAGAATCCTTGTGTCCAAGGAGCAGCCTGGTTTCACCCTCTCCAGGATGAACTTGTTTGTTCTCCTAGCAGTCCACGGTATATTCAATACTCTTCTCCAGCACCACAGCTCAAAGGCATCAATTCTCTTTCAATCATCCCTAGTCACTGTCCAGCTCTCTGATGCATAAGCATGCAATTGTGAAGACTATGGCCCGGATCAGGCACACCTTAGTGACACATAGTAATGGGGAAACAGAAGTCGCATCTAGATTAGAATGTCTACACTAAGGCTACTTTCTTGCCAACAAGACACAGGGTGTTAACAGCTGAGGATAGGTGCATGATATGGGGGTGGCCTAATGGAAAGAAGTACCTGGTTAAACTCCTTAGAGCTGGCAACATTGGCTCAGAGACAGAGCCTCAGGAAAACCTTACTCAAGGCACTTATTCAAGACCTTTTCTTTAGAATAAATGACCACAAAAGTGAGAGCTTTTTAGAAATATAGCACAAGAGACCAGAAGTGCCCAATATGGAGGTCTCTGCTTCTTCCTCCAGAAAGTTCTGGTGGCCTAGTGAGTAGGGCATTGCACGGCTAACCTCGAGGAGGTACCTGTCTAGCTTTTCAAATGCATTAGCTGCATCGCTCAGCAGGAGAAAAATGGCCAATCTTCTTGCTTATGACTTACAGCCTCCAAACACCCGAGGGAGGCTCAGCCATGAGCTAGTTCCAATTCAATGGCAATGAGTGAGGGAGTGAGCTTCTAAGGTTACTGGAGGAGATTAACATCTTGAGCCAGGGTGACTTGCCTGTATTGCTCAAGACTCAAACTTGTTCACTTCCTGCTTCTTCTAATCCTCCTGCATAATTAGGATGAGGTTTCAGACGTTGAGTATGCCACGGTGGAGCCCTGTACAGATCCATTTCCTCAAACTCTCTTCTCTCTCTCGCTGTCACACAGCTTCACAGGCCTTCCTTTGCCTCTATCTTGTCCTGGAGTGTGGCTGCCACTCTCACCATCTTGAAGGTAAGACTGATGTCTGTGTGTGGGTACAATGACCTATGAAAAGGCAAGTCAGACAGCAAACAACATGGGAGTTGTGCAATAATAGCTCCACTTGTTTTTGAGTCGAGGGCAAAGCCAAGGTGGAGGTACTTCCTCCACCTGCTGGTGGCCTCTCTGAACTTTGGTTCCCCCAAAAGAAGGATGCAAACTCTTGTGTATTTTTGTTTCCTTTCATGATAGGTCAGGCAGACACTTGATGAGACTGTATGTGGCTGTTATTATTGTCATTTATATTTTTCAGGATGATACACTCTCAAAAAGAATGTGAATTCTGTGACACAAGGAAAAGCTGCAATTAGAATCCAAGTCTCTTAATTCAAGACCCTCAATGCTACTACCTGCGTAAATCAAGTTGCAGACTTGTGTGAGTGATGTGGACAGTTGGCATTGGAGTGGGGAGAAGAATTAAACTACAGTGAAGACAGAGCAGAGTGGATGCAGAGTCATAGCTTCCTCTCTGCGGTGAAGCCATGTGTTTCCTGAGTTAATAAAGACATTATTTAATGAATGTGTGAAAAAAGACAAAGGCGGCCCCGCTACCTCTTATTCTCATAACTTCTGATAATTCTGGGTTTGTAGAGTCTGAAAAGACTTTTTGAAAAAAGAACTAATTCAGTTAAATTTTTTTTTAATTGAAACCTGGTAAGATATTTGATACAGAAGATTGTCCATTACCTGCTTAGCCCTTCAAGTAGTATGGCAAATTCAAAAAAGATATTCTCTCATATGGACTTTTCTACTTAGAAATAACCTCACACCATGTTAATCAATATTTTGCTGCCCATTTTACCACATAATCCAGTGGATGTTAATGATATCGTTCACCATATATATCTGATTAATGAAGAAAAATAAAGCGCTAACATTATGAGGTTAGAAATAGCATCCTATGCTAATCTGCAATGCCAAGAAATGAAGATGGTTTAAATCAGATCTCATGACTAATGCATGAGATCCAAAGTTCTTTTATTCCTGGCTATTTTAGAAAACTGGGGTGTATTTTTACCCAAAAAAAAATTCTATAAGATTTATTGAGATAATACAGAATGTCTTATTATTAGTACCTCACAATCAAGATTTATGTCCTACTGGTGATTACTGAAATGCTAACAGTTTCTCCACTTTAATTTATTAAATTTATTTAGTTTATTATGTATATGCAATTGTTTAAATGCAGATTTAAGGATTTTGTATCTGATCTTTAGTTTTTATTTATTTATTAAAATACTCAGTACGTGGAGAGATGATGCACTCAAATAAAACGGAAAGTTTAAATTGCTTTCTGAAGTCGCTATTCCTTTTTAACTGAACCAATTGTGGATTAATTCAAATGAGAGAAATATATCCAGCGATAGTCAGCTTGTTATTTTTGCTTGTTTTTGTTTTGGTCATGACAAACTGTGAAATGCTGTGTTTTTCCTATAGTTCTAGTCCATGAAATCTGCAATCTTTCCACTTGATTTACGAAGGACCCTTAATTACTGCTGTCATTAGCACCTAGTGTTCAAAACAGTCTGTTAAAATGTACTGTTAGTCTCACCTCCAAGTCCCTGCTTGCTTTATTTTAATTTTTTCAAAGGGTAAGAAAAACAATAATTGTCGTAATAACAATAATTATTATGTGCAGTGAATTCAATAATATTCCAGGTTTCTTGGTGCTTATTTCTCCTTATTCAGGATTCAGTACTTGTATGTTAAGGCTGGTCCGGAGTTTGAACAAGTGTCCATAAACAGGGTTATAATAGTGAAGACTTATTACCTGGGTTTTAAAAACAAGTCACTCATTTGCCTTTTCCTTTCCACATGAATAGGGATGACAGACAACTGCTGTGAAGCGTCAATGTTTCTGCCTGGTCATGCACAGTTCTGCAATATAATGCATAAATGTATAACAACAACTTGGGCTTGCTTGATACCTCACTTGGGTTAGGGAAATCCAACCAGGCGCATCCTGGCTTTCTAGATCGCTCTTTTTCTCTCATAGGTCAAAAGTTGATTTATTCTCCAGATCCCCCCAAAATCTTTCTTTTTCCTCGAGATTCTGGCAGTTCTGACTTCCCAATCAGACTAGTAGTAAGACTACTGGAGCGTGGGAGGGGCAGGCGAGGGCGAGGCTCGGAAGGAGGAATCCGGGTGCCGGTGCGTGCCGCGCCCGCTCCTGCCGGGTGAGAGTCCGGGCCGGGTTTTGCGCCGTGTCCCCGGGCTTGTCTCACGGCCTCCAGCCGCCGCCGCTGCCGTGTTTACTGAGCTCGCGCGTCCTGATATCACTCCGCTGGCATGGAGGAGGAGGAGGAGGTAGAGGAGCGAGAGGAGGAGGAGGAGGCGGCGGCGGCGAGCAGTTGATCATTGTGATGGTGGCAGGAGCAGCAGCGGCAGCCCAGCCGAGCTTTAGGGGCTGCTCTCCGCGCGGCGTTTTGCAAAGGACTTCACCGATCTACTTTTGCAATCGCCTCGGACTGTCCATGTGTTTACTTCCCCCAGCCCGAGGATTCGATATCTAGGTTCCTGTGAAATGCAACTGAGCAGCCAAAGTACTTTGAGAACACGGGGCGGCATAAACACCAAAACTTTTTTGTGGAAGGAAAATGCAATAAGCAAGCTTGCCGTTTTCCGATGCGGTGTGGAGTGAGTGTGTGTCGCGCGTGTCCGCACTGGAGGCATATGCTTGTATGTGTACATGGGGTGTGTTTTTCGGTACGTAGGGAGAAAATGCTTGCCAACCACCGGAAATCTCCTGGAATTTATTAGAAAATAATGGATTATAAAAAGAAGGCAGGCGAGGAGCGGATCTCCCCTTGAGTTGCAACCCGATTTGCTGCTGGCTCAGTTTGTTGCGATTCTTTTTGTTGATAGGTGTCTGATGGTATTCCGATAACACCCCCCCTCTTTTCCCCCCCTCGAGCTTTACAGTTTAAAAAAAGGAAACAAAACCACCCCAAAATCTCTCCCCCTTTTTTTTTCCGCCCCGTCGGGATCGCTGTTTCCATCCATGTGCTTGCGTCTCCCCCGCGTTCCACTTAAACTATTTTAATCCTTGGACCCAAGGAGGAGGCTGATAGGGGGGTGGATAAAAAAAGTTCTTCCAAAATAGTGTGCCCAGGGAGCAGGATGGGGGATTTCGCAGCCCCCACTGCTGCCGCGAATGGCAGTAGTATTTGCATCAACAGTAGCCTGAACAGCAGCCTCGGCGGGGCCGGGATCGGTGTGAATAATACTCCCAATAGTACTCCCGCTGCTCCGAGTAGCAATCACCCCGCTGCCGGCGGCTGCGGCGGCGGCGGCTCCGGGGCCCCCGGCGGCGGCTCGGCGGCGGTTCCCAAGCACAGCACCGTGGTCGAACGACTCCGCCAGCGCATCGAGGGTTGCCGGCGGCACCACGTCAACTGCGAGAACAGGTATCAGCAGGCTCAGGTGGAGCAGCTGGAGCTAGAGCGCCGGGACACCGTGAGCCTCTACCAGCGGACCCTGGAACAGAGGGCCAAGAAATCGGGCGCCGGCACCGGCAAGCAGCAGCACCCGAGCAAACCCCAGCAAGATGCAGAGGCTGCCTCGGCCGAGCAGAGGAACCACACGCTGATCATGGTGAGGGCGCACTGGCAGCGGGCGTGGGGCGCGCGGCGGTGCAAGTGGGGGCGTGGAGCTTCTTACATTGGGGTGTGTGTCGGGGGGTCTGATTTGTACGGTCGGTGGTGAAGTGGGCTGAAGCTGAAGGGTTAATGTCAACTTTTCTGCGGGGAAAAGAACTGCTGTCGCCGCTACCTGTTAATCTGTCAGGGTTGTCAGATTTGGGGAGGAGGGGGCGAATGAGGAAAAGCCAGTCACGACTGCGAGGGGAGGAGGGAGCTTCGAGGAGCGCCGGAGTGAGGCGCTGGAAAAGTTTTATTCCTCCTCTCCTTCTCTTAGATACTAATTTGAAAGAGAGTAAACCCAGAGTTGAAACCTTGCTCCTCCTCTTTACTGCTCCCCACTCCACCCCTCGCGGTGCCGCCTCGCCTCCCCTGACGCGTCCCTCTTCGCCCACCCCTCCCAGCACATCCGCCGGGTGCAGAGAGAAGAAATTGATGCTGTCGCAGATTCTGGGCGGGCACTAGGCCCTCAAACGCTGTGGGGAGGCGTGGGGGGGGGGAGAGGGCCTCCACTCCCTAGTTTAGCCACCCCCCCCCCCACTTTGGGCTGAGAAAGTCTGAGAGTTTTGTGAATGAACTTTGAAGTGGGAGAGGAACGAGCGAGGGTGGCTACGCGCGCACGCTCACGGGGACGCGCGCGGGGGGGGGGACGGGTGCGCTCTGCTCCAGACCCGGGGCTGGCCCGGCAGGTGGAGCGGCCAGAGGCCAGGGAAGAGGACCCGCCCGCCGAGGGCGGGAAGGGAGAGCGATCCCCAGTACTAGCTCCGTGCGCCTGGCGCCCCCACCACTGCGCTCCGCTTGGGGGTTCTTCTCCCTCCTCTTAAACTTGCCTTGCCATGAGCTTTCGCCGCTTCTTTCCCCCGCCCCACTCCCCGCCAACTTTGTGGGCATGCCTAATAAACCCGGAGGAGTGGTAGGTAGCGGGGAGGTGAAAGAGGCTTAAATGGCTGGGTGGGTGGGTTCCATGTAAGACGAGCAGCCAATGGCTTAACTTCTAAGGAGGAAGGGGCAGTTCCCACCCCTTAACCCTGAGGGTATAATCCTTTCTCTTATCTCTTCTCTCGGGTTCTTTTTCTTTCCTCTCTGGGTGGGGGAGGCCGGAAGCTTGGGAAAGGTGTGTGCAGCCCACCCCCTCCACAGCGCGCGCGGCCCCGGGGTGCGGGCTGGCCGGGCGCTCGGAACGCTGGCGCGCCTTTGCCTGCTCCCGCGCACGGCATGCCTCCATCCGCGACGCCGACCCTCTCGGTGTACAGCGCAGAAATCGCGCGACCCGTCCCCTGCCTGGCCTGGCGCCGTCGTCGTTCCCCTGCCGCTGCAGGCTGTCGCCGTGCGCTCGGGCCGGCTCGCGGTGACAAAGAGCCGGCTTGGGGGAGGGGAGGCCGCAGCACCCGCTCCCTAGCCTCCCCACCTTCCCCCACCCCACACGTGAGGAGGAACAATTTGTTTATCTTGGGCTTCAAGAATCCTTCCCTCCTCCCAGTTCTCCGCGGCCGCCCTAGTCCCTCCTCTTTCTCCTCCCTCCCAGGAGCGATCCTGCCCAGTCCCGCCGGCTGTACCTTCCCCTCCCTTCCCCTTTCCCACCGCCCTCTCCCCCTCCTTTCGCCCGCCTCCCCCCTCCCTTTTGGAACGCGGCCGTGGGGGAGGGAGCGGGAGGCGCTTTGTCCGCTTCGCGGCCCCGCGCTGCCCCGGAGGCCGCCTGGCGGGGAGGGGTCCGCAGTGCCCACGGCTCTGCCCCTCCCCCCGCAACCCCCCTGCTCTGCCCCTCCTCCTGGTCGACTCGGTTTTTAGGAAGAACCGCGGTTCTGGAGGCCGGGAAGGAGGGTCTCTCTTTACAAACAGGAAGCCCCAAAACCACTGACACACTGTAGCTTTTCTGATTGTACCCAGAGGCGGGGAGGGATCTAAATCTTGACTGTGTCCGCTGCTGGTACCTGGTTTCTCTCGCTTCCAGGCGGCGTGGCCTCCCGCTCCCCGCCCCCTCGCGTCCCTGAAAGCACTCGCAAGCATTTCCATGGATGGGGAACTCACTTTCTGAGCCTAGGACAAAAATAGAATTTTAAAGGCGGCTGGAGTGTCAGCCGCGCCTAAGCCACGTTCTGTGCGTGCATTTGTACACCTTACACGCACGGATTGCGTAGATAGGGACTTTCCCCGTGAGGTTCCGAAATTTCCCATTCCACAGGCTCGCTCACGGCCCTTAGGGATGCAGGACTTCTAAGTGCTTCCCTTGCCAGCTGGGCCAGCCTGGAACAAAAGCCGGTGTGGGTCTCTCTGCTGGGTCGATTTTGACCACGGGCGGGAGGAAGTTGGTGGCCAGAAAGTTTTCCTTTCTGGTTTAGGTGCTCCCGTGGGTGCCGTATGGGCCCTGGAATGGGCAGAAAAGGAGGACTTGGTACGCGCGCCTGGATTATAACACACTTGCAGGTGTTACCTGCAGACGTTACCTGGAAGCCCAAGTCAGAGCTTACTTTAGAATGATTTTTTCCCTAGAATAGAGGGAGACATCAATTGTAAATCCCGCAGTGACGTCCAACATAGCAGATTAACAACAGATAAACTTGCAGATGCCCAGAGAGCCTTATTTATATCAATATTCTAAAAGTACTTTACACTTAGAGACCCTATGTAAATGCTGAAGTTGTATACAAAATAAGGGTATATTCTTAGTCTCCTTTAGTTCCCCTTTGGATCTCCCTCTCATACTAGCGTGTGAATAATGAAAACAAACAGCCTTAAATCTTCAGCAAAGAATTCATTGTAAATTCTGTGTCATGGAAAAGACAAATATCCTTTACAAGTTATATTTCCTTTTAAAATAATTAAAAATTTTGTATTGGCCTGTAAAATGAAACAGTGCTCTAACTTAGCCTGAGTATGAGATAAGATCATGGAAAAATGGAGATTTCAAAGAAAATGTTGATCTTCATTTCCTTGAATTGGTTGTTGGATTCTAGTTATGCACTGGCAGAGCGCTGAGCAATTAAAATTAGCTCTCAGACAGGGCTCTTGATTTGGAAAGCCCTAAAGAAAAGCAATGATCAACCAGAGCCAAATAATAATAATGGTGATGATAAAAATAAAGATAAATAGTATTCTTTTCTTTTTTATTGCTATTGTTTACCTTCTTAGGGCCAGTATGTCCAAAGTACTAAATATCGATCAGTTTTCTTTCGGCCTGGCTTGGGTTAAGAAGGCAGTCTAATGAGGGCTTTACCTCTTTTGATTTGTTTTCCTATCTTGTACATTTACAAGGATAGACATTAAAAACAAACAAAACAAATAAACAAACAAAAAGGGTGAATGAGGTGAAATAGAAATATTATTTAGTTCCAGGCTGCTGGGGGTGGGCCCCCAGGAACCCTCTTCATAGAGACACTGGAAATCTCTTGGAAAACATATCAAGGTCTTGGTTTTTGAGCCTGCATTAGCTTAGGTGAAGATTTAGTTCTGGACAAATGATCACCACTACCTTATACAGAAGCCTTTTGGCCTTCAAAGGAGTTAGTGAGAAAACTTTGATATTACCTACTAGAGAGTCTTTGTTAAAAAGTTATCTTTTCCTAAACTATTCTTTTAAATTTTAGTGGTAACAAAAGGAGACGTTGTTTATTTGTTGTACTTGGAAGAGAGATAAATTTCAACTGGCAGCTTCATTGTCATCTCAGCATAGATTGACTTGACAGGGGCGTAATCATTTGGACATTCTTCAAAGCAGGAAAGTACAGTCTTCAAAATTTCAAAATGGTGTTGCTCTTAACCTGGATCAGAGTCATGTTACTATTTTAACCTTTTACTATATTAACGCCTTTTGCCAGAATAGTCTTGATTTACACAGTTGACACACTTCATAATCCTATGTTAACCTTGCTCAGGAGAGTTTATCATATAAAATTTATTTGATAGTAAATACATTAATTACTGAGTTTTGAAGAAAATGACAATTCATCCACAAATGTCATCTGTTCCTGGAATAGATCCAGGAAACATTAACATATGCAACATGTTAGTCCACTACAAAACCACATCATAAATCGCACTTATTTTCCACTTCCTCTCCTAGTGAAGGTGAATTACAAACTATATTCAGGTTTCTTGGCCATCATGTAATACCAAATCATTTCTGCATCTCTCCTGTACTAACCTTTTAATTGGCTTACCCTGTTTTGTTACTATGAATGAAGAAACTACTAATGAGCTCTTGGAAAGCCTTTTATAATTTGCATAGGATGTGCCTTACATTCTTGAAGAACTTTGAAATTTCATTTCTCTGTGCATCACATGTGTACCTTTTTTTAAAAAAAAATATTATTCTCAAGAAGCATTTAAAAAAAACCAACAAGCTCCTATCATCTATGCATATTTAATACTGTTATTTATGTTCTTTGATCGTTGTCCATTTTATGTAGTACTGGGAAACCAGCTATTAGAAAAGTAGAAGCATAGGTGGTCATTAATCATAAATCTACAACATGCTCTTTAGGCTGATTTCCTACCCAAGGAAAGATACATTTCAAGTAGCTGGTGCATTTGATGCACTCTTTCTACCCTCTCCATTCCAGTTCTAAAGGCAAGCTTTAGGATCTTTGTGGGTGTTTTTTTTTTTTTTCCCTCTGACAGGAGGGAAATGACCAATCTAGGTACATGGTGTTCTGACATTTTCTTAAGATGAAGGATGAACATTTTATATATGTGGTTTATTTTAAAAATACTTCCCTTAAGCTATCCAATCACCAACTGTTGTTAAAGATTGACAGGTTTTAGTGCCAGTACTGCAGAAGAGATCTTGTATAAAATCATTTTACATTATGTCCTTATTTTTGTATGTATTTGAGTGCTTGATGTCATTTGGGAGTTTTATTTGTGATGAATGCTGAATATTTGTTAATTAACAATCAGGGAATATATTCTTGAGTCTTGCGGTTGTTGTTAGAATGACCCACAGCTGATCTTCTAGCA